CAATACCTGGCCTGTCTTTTTACTTATTTCAATACCAAAGCCTTTAATTGTATTAATAAAGTACATTTTTATTAGGGTGATTCCGCGAGTCATACATTGTCTGAACCGCATAAGATAAAGCTCGGAATCTCTATATCTTAACTAATCATTAAAAAACAATGCATGAAATAAGAAAGGTAAAAACAAGTATAAAGTATGTAGAATTCATGCTTACATTACTCTGCATGTAATCTAAACATTCATCTAGTTTTGCTAATACTGGAATAAATTCTGGTTGTTCACAGATATTTTCGCCGGGGGAATTGAATAATTTAGTAATAGTTTCTAGCTCATTGTAATAAGAAAGTTTTGAAGATATTGCATCTGCTAATGATGTAAGATTGTTCTTACAACAACATAAGCAATGGAATATTAGAAAATTTAGGTTTTCTAAAATTAATGAAGCAAGCTATTCTACATCATAATATTACCTGTTCTTCTAATAATTTCTCACAAGCTGTTTGTAAAGCTTTTGTTCTTTCCTCTACAAATTTGAAATTACCATCCAAATCATTAAATAATTTGACAGTTGTATCTATTTGTTCTAGAAAAGTATCACATGCTTGCCGATATGAAGTAACCATTTCAAGGAAATTCCTAAAATTAGGAAAATAACACACATGTTAACTGATTTAAAAGTTTAACCAAGAAGTAAATATTATCAGGTTTAATCTTATAATCCATTATACCAACCTATAGACATCCTCTTGATCCTTTTCCATATCATTTTCCATCCTGGCAAACCAATCGAAAAATTGTTGTGTAGTCTCAATTGGTTGTGGTATTCCAAGGACGGAATAGGGTGAAGAAGATATAATAGCAGAGTCAGATTCAGCTGTTAAAAGATTAACTGTAGAACGTGACTTTGGGATGGAAAATAGGGATGGCATGGAACCAGGATATGGTGAGGATCTATGGTTATCTTTAATAGACAATGGAGTTGGGGATGCTGTACGCTGAGGTGTTCCTGGACCGAGATCGTTTAGAAACTGAAATATTTATATAACTAGTGTTATTAAAATAAAAAAAAACTAATCATTGAATTACAAAAAAAAAAAAATTGTTACTTACACCGTCAGGTAATGGTAACTCTGCACAAGCTTCTTGAAGTTCCAGAACACTTTGCTTTTGTATTTCTGTAAGTTGGGTCTTTGATTCCCATTCTTCCAGCGTTATTCCTTTATTACGTAATTGAGTTGTCATGTTTTGTTATAAGTACAAATTATTGATATAGAAAATAACTTTATCAGGGATTCAAATAGTAAAAATAAAATTTACTTAGGACACGAAAAAAATTTTGTGATAAGGTCGATTAAACGTTACCATACACGCATATATTGTCATGTGTCTGTAGATCGATCAATTAATTTAAAATTATAAATGTCTTCCTTCTTGTGCAAAAAACCTGCCTTTAGTTAATAATGGCGTCTCCGAGTCCAGCTGGCCGAGATTCACCGAATCCAAGTTTTAATGAACCTTTCCAGTTTGATGAACAAAAATTGCAATCTAATGCTGCCAACCCTGAGAAACAAGAATTATACATTTTTAATTGGCTAGCAAATTTAGAAAGAGAGTTAAAGAAAACTGACAAGGTTTAAACATTTCCATGCTTACTTTAGTTTTGCTTAATTATTTTTAATTATTTATTCTCTTGTGTTGTAGAATTCTATCCAATATTCATTCATTTTTCCTAAATAATTATACTTTAGGAAACAGTGAAATCAACTCAAACAAACCTTGAAAAGCAATTATTAAAGTTTATATCATTTCCAAAGCCCAGTAGACCAATTCGGCAACTTATTGCAAGATGTTTTGTAATTATTTATATAAGGGGTGATTCAAGAACTTTATTTGATACCATCACTATTTTACAAAGCTTTGTTAATGCAGGGAAAGGTGCTGGTGAAAAAGAAAAAAAATTGTAAGTGCCAATTTGCTTTTATTACGTGAAATCAAATTTTTTTATCTTTAAAATAATTTTCGTATCATTTACAGGGCAGCTTTACATTGCATTGGCATTATTATGAAATCAATTGGAGATCGCATTTTGTCGTTGCTTCCTGGGATAATTGATATTTGCCTCAAGACTACCAAAAATACAACTAATGTTAGTACTTAATAAATGTTTTGATATTGTTTATTATTTAGGTTTGTTCCTCAAAAGCAATATCGTATAGGTTATGCTAATTATATTATTTCAATAATATTAGCCACTAATTATTCGTATGGAAGCAATCAATACAATTACCAAAGCACTCGAAGGTGCAGCTAAAGGGACGACTGAATTAATTGTAAAAGATATTATGAAACAATTAAAGGCCGGATTAAACGACAAGGCCTCGATAATCAAGGTTGCAACTATCAAGGTATTTATAAAAACTAAATTTAAATGCATGTATTTAAATGCGTATTATTTCTGATGTTTCCTCAATGTAGTGCATGCAATCGGTAGCTAAACATACATATCAACTATATCCAATTACGGCCAATGAATTGGATCAATTGCTTTCTCAGATGGTCAAAGTTCTTGATGGTTCTAATCAGACTATTCGCCGTTCTGTAGCTGAATATGTATCGACTTTGCTTGCAGGAACACAGGGCGAGGTAGACTTTTTAGCATCTTCAACTGTGTCCAAAAATAAAACATCCACGACATCACATTCTAGTTCACATTCATCGCAAACGCCAGGAAGTCCTACTCTCGGTTCTTCATCGGATCCTGTTAAGGTTGTATTGTCTGTTGAAGAGATGTTATCGCATTTGTCCTCAATTTATAATAAACCATCTAGTACGCGAGAAGTGCGTTCTGCAATTATTGAAGCTTATTCAGCTCTCTTTATTAAATTGGGAACTAAATATGTGGAACTAAACTATGCGGAAATTGCTCGACATTTATTGAAAGAGCTCATGTCCCATCCCAAAAATGTAAACTCTCGATATGATTCACTTAATGTACGTGAGCACTGTGGATTGCTGTTACGCGATGTCATTGGTACAAGACTACTAAGTGAACAGGGTCAAGTAATAGCTGTTCGAGAACTAGTACATAATTGGGTCAAACAATGGCCAACGCCGACGCAAGATAAAGTTGAACCAACAAAATTATCACTTGTATGTGCTGTCAATGAGATATCTGGATTATTGATAGACCTAGGAGGAGCAGCAAGTACTGTTTCGGTATCGTATGACTTTCATCTTAATTGAGCGGGAAGTTTACTTTCATTATTGAGAAAAATACTTATAATAGTAACTACTTACATTTATTAAAAGGATGTACTTGTAGATCCATTGATTAACCTTTTAAGCCATCCAAGCTATTCTGTACAAATTGCAGCTGCATGGTGCCTTCGATGTTTTTGTTATTCATTGCCTGTCAAATTATCAGGGCTTATTACAAAAGTTCTTACCCTTGTCAATAAAGACTTGAATAGTTTAACAAATCACACTGTTTCAACAGATTTACCGAAACGAACATTGGGCCATGCATACGGATTAGCAGCGCTTTTAAGTGTAGTGCCTGCTCGGCCACTTTATGTTTCATTTGAATTAAGTGCACGTGTGTTCTCTATTTCAACACAACTTATCAAATCAAGTACAAACAAGGATATTGCAATTGCTAGTGTTCATTTACAAGTCGCATGGATTCTTATAGGCTCCTTAATGTGTTTAGGGCCCAATTTTGTCAAATTGCATCTTCCACAATTGCTTTTGTTGTGGAAAACAGCATTACCAAAACCGATTTCTAAGGAATCTGTGTCTAATCGTACAGAATCCGAGTTGACATTCATGTTACATGTACGAGAATGTGTTTTAGGGGCTATGCTCAGCTGTGTATTACATAACTCTAAATTGATAACTCCTGATGTTGCTAAACGACTGGTGGCCTTGTTAAATAATACTTTAGCTTTTACAACTTTAGTTACTACTTCGTTTCATAACGTAAATACACAGAGTAATTCTACTACTTCGGTTGCGCAACAACTTCCTTCAACTTCATTGAAATTCTCTGATCATGAAATTATGTTAAAACGGAGAATACTTCAATGCTTTGTTGCAATTAGGCCGATATCCTCTTATGATAATCTCAGTTCACAACTTTTGAAAATGTGTTTATCATATTTTGCAGATCCAGAAAAAAATATTGGCTCTGCCATCACAGCTGCTATTGCTGCTGTATCTGGATCTTTTACAAGCGTCTGGACTACTGGTGATGAATATGCCTATGGTGTTAGCAGTAGGTTACAAGGAATGACCGTCGACATTGCAAATATGATTGATAGTGATCAGAATGAAAATAGTTTCAGAATTGTGGCTAGAGATTGGCTTAATAGAGATTTGATTGAAAGTCGTCTAGAAAATCAGGTAATAATATCTATACTATTAGCTTTCGCCAAATACTTCATTAATTCTATGCTTGAAATTGCCAATTTCAAGAATGGCTATTATACTATAGGTTTTGTCAACAAATTAGTAAAATTCTTAATAAGTTTGTTAATTTTACAAAATTCAAGTTTAATCCAAAATAAAATTGCACAATTTAACAAAACTGTCTGAGAATTTCGCTAATTTGGCTTAGAATTTTACTATTATATATACAAAGCTCATATATGATTTTCATGTAAATATTCTTCCATTAATATTTTCACAATATTTTACAGCTTGAGCAACCAATAATTGGGGCTCCAGAATATGATTCCATAATGATTTACACAACATATTGGATGTCACATTCAAATTCAACTACATTCTTAATATCCAAACCTGTTCCGGCTGCATCAGCGTTAGTGGATTATAGTATTGAACTTTTTGCATTAGTTTTTCCATTGCAGAATGCGCATGTGCAAGAATCATGTCTGGAACAACTAATCAACGCAGTAAGACATCCAAAATTGGAAAAAAGCCCAGGAAGAAAAATGGCCCTTCAAGTGAATATGGTGATATGTTTATTGGGCATATTCAAAAATATCATGAATGTTTCTGGGAAAAAAGGAGAAACTTCAGTGCCCGGTATTGCTGATAAAAGAGTTGGGGCTCTAGCTATGGAGTTATTACAAGTGTGTTTCATCTATTCAGTTGTCAATTTAATAAATGTTATATGAATTCTGCAGCATTTAAAATTTAAAATTTATTTATTTTTAACCATAATATAGGAAGCAATAGTTCACCCGGATGCATATTTGCGTCATGCTGCTAGTGATGCACTAGGGCGTTTGTTGAGCGTTGTAGGAGGTAATATGGTTCCAACACAAATGCAACTTCTTGTCGACCAGGTTGTTATTAACCGTGATCCTGACACGCGTGCTGGTAGTGCATTAGCCCTTGGTAGTATTTATAGCCATGTTGGTGGTATGGCTGCAGGAGGACATCTTAAAACTTTGATCGGAATTTTGTTATCGCTTAGCAGTGATCCACACCCAATTGTACATTTTTGGGCGCTCCATGCTTTAGCAAAGATTATTGACTCAGCTGGGCCAATGTTTTCACAATATGTGAGTAGTACTTTAGGTATTATTGCTAAACTTTATATGGCTGATACTCATGAACCATGTGGTGGCACCGTTGGTACTACGAATGTCGGATTAGGCTTATCCGCATACCAGCAATTTGGTAAAATTATATATGGATTGATTGGCACATTGGGGCCAGAATTACAAACAAATCCGAAAATCAGAAATCTCTGTTTAAATTTGATGATTGAGCTTAGAAATGATGATGATCAATTTGTTATCGTTGAATCAGTACGTTGTCTTCAACATTTCATTATGCTCGCTCAGCAATATGTGGATTTGCCGAGATTAGTCGCATTCTTGCAATTTCAGTTCTCAAGCATGCATTTCCCTTTAAAGGAAGTTGCTATTACATGTCTTTACCAATTAGTTCAACATAATGCTAAGCATGTGTTTGAAATTGCCGCTCCTGGACTAGATAATCAGTTGTTTTCGCTGTTAGATACAGATCCTAAAGTCGATGGAGTAAAAGATATTGTCAAAAGTTGGTTAAGTCAGACGGCTCTTGAAAGTCCTTCATCATGGGTTGAATTGTGTCGGAAGGTCATGTCAAGAACTGGTTCTGTAGCAAGCGCAGGTGCACTTATTGAGCCACCATCATTAGATATTACTGGTGAAGATGCAGGCGATGTAGTCGATGAAGAGGGTGAAGAGTTTGGTATCGAACAACCTTCCAGTGTTAATGTTACTGTACAAAGACGTAGGAGCCTTGATAAAAAACCCAATATTTCATCAGACACCGTACAAATACCACCCAGATGGCGAACACAGTTCTTTGCACTTCAATGCCTTCACCAAGTTGTTGAAATTATTCATGCTAGTGGTGATAAAGATCATTTTGATCTGGCAATTGCTAAGAAGGGTAAACAAGCTGGCAAGGATTATTTAGTTTTAAAGGTTGCTGAACTTATTAAAATGGCGTTTACAGCCTCAACGGCTGTAGTAGGAGAAATGAGATTAGAAGGCTTAACATTGTTAAGAGATGTTATTGAGGTTTGATAAAAATATCATAATTTTGTTTATTTTATATTGTATATTTTTATTCTTATTTATAATTATGTTATTAGAAATTTTCTGCAACCCCTGATCCAGATTTTGAGGAAGCGGCTCTTTTGGAACAGTATCAGGTCTGCATTCTCTTATGATATTTTAATAATTCTATCAGCTTTCTAATCGATGCAATAACATAGGCACAAATAGGTGCGGCTCTTACGCCTGCTTTTACGGCTGATTCATCACCAGAAATTCTTTCTGCAGCAGTCAAAGTATGTGCCGTATTTGTTGGAAGTGGTATTGTGAAGGAATTGCATCGAATGGGACGTATCTTGAAACTATTGACAACTGCCTTAGAGAATTGTAAAGGTATTTTTCAAATATTTAAATATTACATCACAAAAACGCGTATTTTCTTCATTTGATAAAATTTATTGTTTACATACGAAATCATGCAAAGATAATTCAAGCGTGAACAAAGTTGGTGATTTTAAGGATTTAAGTCCACATGCTGCAATAATGGTTAAGCTTTCAGTATTGAATGCTTGGGCTGAGCTTCAAGTCGCCAGTACCAAACAAGATTATCTGGTTCAAGTTGTTCAACCGTATCCTTAAATCTATTTAATAAATTGGTCTTTAGAAGTTGTTATTATAAATAGTATTATTACAGAATCATATGAATTTTAACCTTAATATGATACAGAAATTTACCTTTATTATGTCCTTTATGGGTCTCAACATTGAAGGAATATGCTAGAGTGCAGATAGAACCTGATATTACTGATGCTCAAGCTAATATTATTGGTAATGGATCAATGCAGAATACTGCACAAACTGAAGTTTTTGACTCTATGTACAGCGGATTAACTAGAGAAGTTATTCTTCCGGTAATTTATGCTTTCTTTAGATGATTATTTTTCCAAATTAAAATTGGCCGTGTTATTAACTGTGCTGACTATATTCTTGGCAGTATTATAACATGTCATGGCTAACTATTTTGGGAGCCGTCGCAAGTTTAGTTCAAAGGGAAAATCCATATATTATTCTTGCACTTAACGGAGAGGAAAGTACCACGAATGACAACAATATAAATGACATGAGCAAACTTGATGATGATGATTTTGATGATTTTGGCGATGAAAATAACGAATTTTCTGACGATTTTACTTCGTTTTCTCAAGAAAAAGAGCCTAAAGAACCTGCAAAATTCTTCTTTATACTCTTTGGACTTTGTGTTGAAGCACTATCAAATACATTTGGTGGAGGCAACCGAAGCAGCGGTGTTGAAAATAACGTTGAAAATCAAAAGATTGTTCGTACTTGTATTGATGCGCTTAAAGCTTTTTTACGATCAGCAGTTGCAGGAAACGCGTTTCTTAATGAATATGTTTTTATCGAGTTGATTAATCTGTTTGATCGATTGGTACTTACTGAAGGATTTCAAGTACAATATGACATTATACAAATTATCGGAAATATAATTAAAGATTTTGGAGCAGAGTATATCTGTAAAGATATACCAAATAAGAGGTTTACCATTTAATTTTCTTTTATTCGAGACTTAATACTTCGATAACTAATTAATCTTCCTGATTATAAATACGACAGTGTGAAGATAAATGGGCATAACGAAGATGAATCGACTGCTGAACTCACTGAGACAGATGAAAATGAAACAATACTTTTTCATATATTACGATTACTAGTCAATATATTTTTCCAGAAAATTCCGTCACTTTCAGATCGTCCAGAGGTCATGAGAATATTTAGACTGCCGCAAGGTTTATAAATTTTATATACTTTTACATTTCAAATACATTCGAAATCGAGATTGCTAAAAAAAATAAAATAAAATAAAATTCAGGAAATGCAAGAGGTCAAACATCAAACGAGACTACTATCCTCCTTAAATCCACGATAGAAGCTTTTACGTCGCTCATAACGATAGTTCCACCAAAACGCAAAATTGATTTAGTTGCTATTGCATTTTATGTTTATACGTGTAAGTTTTAAACCTCTTTATTTTGGCATATTTAAATAATTAAATAATGTGATTTCATTGCAATTATCATTCAGCTATTATTCAGGACCCCAAATTTCAAAGTGAACTAGTGCCTCATGTACTTGTCAATATAAAGCTTTTATGTGAAAACATTTCCGCTAATCTTGATGAAAAAGAATTTTATACATTTAGCTGTGTAGTTCATTCAACTATTTCATCCACACTATTGCAAATAAGTTCACTCACCAATAGGTTAGTTCATTTGATTTATAATCATCCATATATTGTTATGTGTTTATATATTTATTTTGCATTTTAACAAAATGAAGTCAAGACGTATTAAAAGATGAAGAAGTGTCTGTAATTAAGAATAGTTTGTTGACTGCCGTAATACTTTTTACCTCTTGTCCAAAATCATGTGCTTCAAATAACGCAATACAAGCAGAATTTATCGAAATACTAAAGAATGGATTTTATTCCGACAATAATATGGTGAAAAATTATTATTATTATTATTTTATAATAACATTGATTTGTTTTTTTTTTTATATAAAATTTTCTCTATGCGACTTGTAGATTGCAATAACATCATTCCAATGCACACGTACTTTGGTATTGCTTTCCGCTAAAAAAGAAACCAATGTTGATGATGTTACATCAGTTCAAATGAGCCATATTTTTATAAAAACACTTATTCCGGAAGTAGCTTCTTTTTTGCAAAAAATAAGTGATACTTGTGGAACTGAGAATGCATCTCAAGAAAATTCCTATAAATTAGATGTTATTGAAGAATCAATCAAAACTTTATTGGCCACGAATACAGTAGCACAAGATTCGCATAGTAAGAATGAAGCATTTCATCTAACTTTTTAAAGAGTCAATGCTAATCGACTTTTTACATATTCTCAAATGTAGAAACGGTTCTGATGGCAGTTACACTACCTACTTTAATTCAGCTATTGGCTGATCCACCACTAGAGAAATATATGTCCTCTTCAGAAGAAAGTCCTTCTCTACACACACTTCCGCCATTGCACGCACTGGCTGTTTCACATATTCTATCGCTTGCAGGACTACAGCCTCAAAATTTTAAGGATGCAGTAACTATACTATTACCTGAGCCAAAGGTTAAATTAGAAGCAGCAATTCGATTTAATGTCTTGCAACAGCAGCAACAACAGCAAAGGTTACAAGAGGAAAGGGATAGGAGGTATAATGAAAGAATTGAATTAAATAAGGGACCTAGCATATCTTTGAAGAGTGATTTCTCTGGATTTTCTTAATTATTTTTTATACAATATGTCTATTTTTAATTGTATTTATAATTTGCTATTTAATTGTATTAGTTTTATTAATAGAATTAATTTTATAGAAACATAACATTAAATAGTGTTTGTAGTCAATTTGGCTTTAGTCGATAAAATCGACTTAGTCGGCTAAGTCAGTCGATTTTTAAAAATTGACTTAGTCGATTCAACTAAAGCTTGGCCATGTATATAGTAAGTTTTCATAACGATAACAAATTTTCAAATCGTATTTCCTCAAAATTTTACATAATAACTTTGCTACCTAATTGCTCATCAGATTTTATATTTTAATTAATAAAAAGTTTGCGATTTTTAGAAAAACAATTTTTATTAAAAATATAATATATATTTTACTAACATTAAAAAATTTTCGAATTTCCTAAATATATTTGACATATGGGCCGATTTGATTCTTTTTTACCAATATGCTATCCAATTTCTACTACGAAATATAACGGAATAAAATCCAAAACCAGTATGTTTTTCGTCTTCTTATTCGGGTATAAATAGGTGATATATGCCTAAATAGAGAAAATAAAAAGTAAATAGTGAGTACGTAAGTACGTAAGTACAAAATATTTAGGTATTTAAAAAAACAAGAATTCTAAATTATTACTATTTTTCTAAAAAAAACCCTCTAGGTTGTCCAGTTAAGTATGTACATAATTTGACGAACATTGATGACAAAATAATTGAAAAGGCTCCTTCTTTATAATTCAGTTTATCAGTAATTTCACATATAGAATTGTGTAATATCTCTAGCTCATCTAGTTCTGAAGTGTGCGATTCTAACGATTTTAAAAAGGCAGTACATATCAAGAGATGAATAGCTCCTATATAATAAAAAATTTACTTCTTAAGTCACAACTCTATGCTTACAGAGAATTAATCTTGATACTACATATACTAGTCATTCATAATTTTTTATAAAATCGGAAATTCTGTAATATAGAAAATAAAGTTTTGTAAAGCTTAATTAAAATTCGTCGTAGAGTTGTCAATACCATTTCATATATATATATATATTTTTTAAAAAAAAAAGTTATCTACTTACAATAAAATGAATAATCGCGTTATCGAAAATTGAGCAAGAACGTTTACAATAAATAATTGTAGCTACGAAAAGCTTCCAGTTGCACTGCAACCCTTACATATTTAAAAAGAAAAAATCTATTATTAAACTCAATTCTATAAAGTTTAGGGATTCAAATTATTTGTTTGCTTTTTTTAAATATGCGCGCATTCTAGTTCTATTTTTTTTGAATTATCATCACAAAATTTACATCTTTTACATAAATCACAGGTATGAAATAATTCCGAATACTTTATTCTATTATTCCCCCAATAAGTGTCTTTTTTTGGGTTTTCACTCCAACCCAAAAGCCAGTTTGGATCCTGAGGATGCTTCGGCACCACCATAAATCTTCTTTGTTTTGCATTCTTCGTATATTTTATTGATTTCTGCAATCGTGTTTTCAACGTGCATTTCTAATTTTATGTATTTATTCTGCAACAAAGGTTATTACAGGTTCTTGCTTACTCTAACCATCTTAAGAAGCAATTACCTAAACCAGTTAGTTTCCCGTGAGAACAAATAATAAACCAATATTATCTTCTCTGAACTATAAGTAAAAGAAGCGAACGTTCGCAACAGGTGCCTACTTAAAAGCCTGACGGCTCGCCTTCTTTAAAAGTATAAAAAGTAAAAAAGTAAGAAATTTAAAAAGTATGAAGTATGAAAAGTGTGACGAAGTATACGAAAAAAAAGCAAAGATGATTACAAATACTTGTTTTGATAATCATTCTATTGTAAAAAATGATGTAATTATGTCTTAATCAGGATGATCTACATTAGAGCTGCATGCATTACAATGAAATTATACGTACGATAATTTTTTATTATCCGGCATATTCCTATTCAATAATTTTATTATTCGACAGAGATAATAGTTTAAACTATCATCTCTGTCTAATAATTTTATTATTGGATAGCAAACCATAGTAAGCTACCGGATAAATCCGTTATCAGGCATGCTGATACTGTCTTATAACTTATTTATTTGGTCAAGGCTTTTAAGGTCAGCCTAAGAAATAGAATTCCTTCGGAATTCAATTTCTTAGGCTAACCTTAAATCCTCGACCAAATAAACCCGTTATCAGACAGTGCCTGCCTGATAACTTATTAGAATTTACGTTGCAAATTATGTAAATTAAGCAAAACTATGCTAAAAATTACAAATTATAATTATTTCTGCTGCTATTTCTGCAATTGCAGGTATGCACTAGCTCTAATCTACATGAACAATTCGTAGATTTTTTATAGAAAAAAATTAAAAACTAGCGTGTTATTTTAAAACAAAAACATTTTTTTTTTTTGAATATTAAAAATTCAACAAGATACGTGTACAATAAATAATAATTGCATTATATATGAAAAATTAATAGAGTAAATGTATCATACGAATAAATTATGAACAGTTAACTTTACATATACCATAAATAATTATATACTTAAACATACCAATACAACTATTATACTCTTGTACTAATATTTAAATCGCTATATATTGCTATATACTAGTGTTTCTAGTCGATTTGACTTTAGTCGGTAAAATTTACTTAGTCAGCTAAGTCGATTTTGAAAAAACTGACTTAGTCAATTCGACTAAAGCTTGGCTATGCATACAGGAAAGAAATGATCAGGAAATTTTGAGAACTAGACACTCAAACAACTTACTGAGATATTACCCGGATATATCCACTCGAGTACAATCTATAATGTCAAAATCGAATCGAATAGTTAATTAGCTGATTTTTAGTCTGGTGTCCCAGGAATAATGAAAATTGCAGTAACCAGATTGAAAATTTTGTTTCATAATTCCGGGCCGAATTATATTAACTATTGGCCAAGGTTAATCTGAATTAGATGGTTAATACGATTAAACAGTTGAAAGTTTAAGAAAGTTTAGACGGGTTCCAATCCTTACCAATTAGAATAACGACTTCAACTTAGCTGGCTAAGCCAAATTTCAAATATTGACTTAGGGTGTTCTTAAACACCTCAATCATAGCTAAATAAATGGATCAGAGATCAATTTTTAATTGGTGAAAAACAGCGAAAAATAATTTTCATTAAAACTGATCTTCCGATCCATTGATTTAGCTATATTGAGGTGCTTGAGAACACCCTTAGTTGAGTCGATAAATTTAGGTCGACTACAAACACTATTATTTAACAGTATTCGAACTTTAATCGTCACATACAGTGATTGTAAAATACCCGAAATAACCCAAATGACAAATGACTAGTCATTGGGTCATTTCGAGGCCCAAATGATTAGTCATTGGGCCATTTCGAAGCCCAAATGACCTAAAAGATCATTTAACATATGGGAACCCTCACAGCAAAAGGGGGCATTGGGCCATTTTAAATTTCAGTTTTTAAATGAGTATATCTTGTGATCTAGTGATTAAAATTAAATGATTTTTATATCATTTAATTCACCTCAATGAGATGAATTGAATGATATAAAAATCATTTAATTCTAATCACTAGATCACAAGATATACTCATTTAAAGACTGAAATTTAAAATGGCCCAATGCCTCCTTTTGCTGTGGGGTCCCCATATGTTAATTAGCATTCTAATACCCTTTAGCCAATCAGAATTTTAATCGATAATTGTTCTTTGCCTTGAAAATGATATTACGGGACATAGTAAATCATATGATCCAAACCTGATTTTCAAGGCAAAGACCCCCAATTAATATTTATGCCTTAAGTAAAGTTGTTTGGTCATATGAAATGTCGAATAATAAAATAAAATATTATTCAATTTCATGTGATCAACCAATCACGAGGAAGTTATCCTATAGTGATCTGTGTGACAAATAAAGCTGCAGATATTAGAATATCAATTAACATTTACTATGAAAGTGACGTATACAATATGACGTATTAAATTATTCAGCAGAGACATTAGGTTTCGAATCAATTTTATTATTAAAAATTTTTTACATCACTTACGCACATAGTCTCTTATGCGTTTTTAACAATATGTTTTTAAAAAATATATAACGATAAAAATCGCCTCTTTTTTTCTCACAGATTTATATTTTTTATATTTTATTTTATTTCTATTTTTAAAAAACATTTAAATTTTTCTTTTTTTTAATAACACTAACGCGAATATTTTCTTCGTCTACACTAGAGTTACAAGAACAAGTAAAGGTTTACTTTCGTTTTTCGACTTATTGACGGCAATTATCAAAAAGTGTTATGAGACTTATTCAGGAATAATTATATTTTTTTCGGTTTTGCAATCTGGATATACTAAATAAACTTTCGAATTTTTTTTTTAAACAATGAATTTATAGATGATGACGATAAGATTATTTAAAGTCGGACGAATTTTTTGGCTGCTTCGAGTATTGATTTCATTTAATAGATGAGTATTTTTATTCATGAGTAATTGATCTCATATATTATATTAACAAAAACCCTCAGATATCGCTCCTAGGCTTCTGGGTTACGTTTGTCGGTAGCAGCACTCAGTGAATACACGTGGTTACTGAGGGAGGGGGTGAAGAATTCATATTTAAGAATGTTGAGATATTCTTCGTTTGGGTATTCCCCCGCTACTGACTGTTGACATGCGGTATTCTGGGGTATTATAGTATTATAGGTCATTTCAATTACTTATCTACTCTTTTTTTTTTAATACTAGGTTAAGGGTTTACTTCCGTTTTTCGATCTATAAATAATTTTGATTTCGAAGATTATATTTTTGTCGGGTTTATACGATTTTTGTATATTATGTAAATTTTTAAAGTTTATTCAAGTAATAAAGATTTTTAATCAAAGCTTTTTCGTTAAATAAAAAGTAATTCGAAATTTGATTATGTAAATGATTTGTAAAATTAATTATTTATCAATGATATATTTAAATAAATAATAAAAGTTTGTATATATTCAAGTATATATGAGACCTATTACTATTGAATATAATTGAAATTTTAAACCATTTGACCGAATTAAAAAATTGAATAGTTTGATTTTTTATATAGTAAAATTCGAATAGTTTAACGCTAGCTTATAAGAAAATATTAAAAAAATAATTGAAGGTTACCGGTATATGTTACGAAATAGACACTGTATATCACGAAAACAGAGAACAGACTACTATCATATTTTACATAACAGATAGGTAATAGAATATTGAATATAAATATATACAGTAAATGGTGTTATGGATAAAGTCGGAACTCATAACACATTAACACCTAACGCTATATACAGAAAAGAAATAAAATAAATAGAGAAAATAAAAAGAAAATTAAATAATAAAAGAAGAAAAGAACGAAATAACAAATAAAAAACGTGACTTGGCACGGGGCACAAGTCACAACCTAAACAGTAGGTCCGTCACATCAATAGAGTGTCTGAACTACAGCACTAACACTCACTAGCGCTAGATTATCGTAATTGAGCACGTGAAAAGCATATAAAAATTAGATGTCGAACTTGATAGTCGTGTTTGTAATGAACGCTAAGAGAGGTTTTACTTTTGCCCGGGTTTCCGATTTTTCTTTCGTTAGGAGCTCTGTCTTTTGTCAGAGGTTTCGACTTTCGTCCCCTTTCGTCATTTTCGTCAGGGGTCGTCGTTTTAACGAGCTATTTCGTCTTTCGCCAGTTTTTAGTTTGGTCTTTCGTCAGCACAGTAGAAAGGTTTCATCTAATAACTATAAGTCAGATAATGATACAACTTTATCAAAAAATTTGGTATCGACAAAGCTAGATTCAACGAATTTTAATGAGTTCAAAACTCTTATAGATAAGTTATATTATTATAAGAATGATCGTGAGAAAGCTTTGGAAATTTATAAAATTATTGTGAATAACGATCTGATGGTTCATGTTAAAATGGATCACTTGGAATTATTGTTAAACCTTTTATGTGATAACCCCGACAAGATGACTTTTGAATTGCTTAACCAAGTCATGAAAGACATTTATTTGTTCCGTAAAAGGAATTTAATAAGACCTACCCTATACACAAAAGTGTTAAAATTATTGGCACAGCTAGGAAATTCCAATATTGTGATTGATATGATAAGGCAAATGACAACTTTGGGATATTACATTGAAAGGCCACATGTTAAAGATGTCTTAAAGCAATGTGTTAATGTTGAATCAGCATATAATATTCTTGATGCCATAGTTGCAAGTCATTATGAGGCTGATAGTGAATGGTATAATTCATTGATCGAGATTTATTGTGAAAAAGAAAATTTTAATGCGGCTTTAGAAGTACTCAGGTTATACAATTTATCAGGTCAGAGGCCTAGGATAAAATTTTATAGTACTATAATTCATAACCTTTCTAAAAAAGGTGAAATGGAATTAGCTGAAGTATTGGTGGACGAAATGAACGAGTATTTTGGACCGCCCAATGATTTAATGTATAATTCTCTAATTTCTGGATACAGCAAAAAGAACGATATAGATATGGTATTTAAGACTTATCAAAAGATGCTCAATATGGGTATTAAACCAACAAAAGATATTTACACTACTCTCATCTTTTTTCATCTTCGACGGAAAGATATTTATGAAGCATCTGTTTTATATAAACAAATGACTGAGAAAGGAATAGAACATGATAGTTATTTATTTGTCGCCTTAATTTATCTACGTGGAATACTTGATGATTCAGAAGGAGCTAGAAAAACATATGACAAAATGAAATTAGCTGGTGTTATTCCCAACACAATATCATTTAATCAGCTCATATATTCTCACGCTCGTGATAGAAAAGTAAGTACATCACAGATCGAAGCATTATATCTTGAAATGTTGGCGGAAAAGTTGGAACCAAACCATTATACATTTGAATTACTTATTGATGCAATGTCTAAAAGACATTCATTTGCAAATATATGTGGAGCCTTTAATGAAATGTCTAAAAGAAACATTCCTATAACAGATGTAGCTTACAACTCCCCGATTCGTCATCATGGATTAGCGGGAAATACAGAACTTGCTTGGAAATTTTTCAATCGAATGATATCTACTGGTATAGAACCATCTATGTATATATACACATCCATAATATCTCTTGCTACCGCATCTTCCGATTTTTCAATAGCTATTAAAGCTTTCAAGGATCTCCTAGCGCGTGGGCTCACACCTAATGTTCATGTTTATTCAGCCTTGATCGCTTCATTGGTAAAATCAGGAAATATGAAAAAAGCGATCAGTATGTTCCACCACATGTCTAACCATGGAGTATCGCCTAATCATGTAACTTTTACATCATTAATTCAAGGATTTGCAATTACACGGAATTACGAGAAAGGTAAAGAAATGTATGAAATGATGAAGAAAGCAAATAATATTCCTGATAGATTCACATTTTACCACTTGGAAAAATTGTACAAAATGACTGGACACACTGAAGAGATCAAAAAATTACACGAAGATATTAAAAGATACGGTATAGATCCCCAATCTCGTGAACGTATCCTAATAAAAGGAAAAGGATCTTATTATTGGAGAGCAAGAATTTTGATCAGACGAAGAATTGAAAGACAAAAGGCTAACATTGATCCTGAGGAACAATATGCTATTAAAAAGCGACAGCGTAAAATATGGAAAAAACGTTATCTATTACGAGAGGCAGCATTGCAAAGATTATATTCCAAACTTCAAAAAAATGAAAGTTTAGAACCATACCAAATATGGAGAAAAAAATATATTCAAGAAAATTACGAAGATTTACAACGATATAAAAAATCTGGTACATTTCCATTCTGATATACAGTATCTCATTTTGAGATTTTTTTTTCTATAGGAAATAGCGGATTTTAGGAATATAAATAAACGTTTAGTTGAAATAGTTGCTAATACTTTAATTCGTAAGTTATGTCAACAATTTTATTTTATTTTATTTTTTGTTAGCCATTAAGAATTAGAGTTATTTATTCTGTTTTATACAGGCAGTAGAGCAAAAATGTAAATCTGCAATATGGAACAATAGAAACTTCGCTCTAATAAATAGCGATAGTGGATTAAATTTTTTTGTTCCATAATTCACTATTAAAATTTCATGATCAGTGTCTAATTACTCTTGGTAGAGACTATAGCAATGAATTGATGTCAGTCGTGTAACAAAGCCATTATAATTTAAAATATAATATTGCATACATATGTCGTGCCCCAAATGTAAATTTGCCCCAGATGTCAATTGGCCTAAATTATCAATCTAAATAAATTAATTTTAGCTAGGTATTTAGGTAAAATTTAGAAAATTGACATCTGGGCTATCCCAATTGACAATCGGGACAAATTTATATTTGGAGCACAGCATATATATAGGTCAGGGCAGTGATGGTAAACGACTTGAAATGACCCAAATGACTCAAATGACAAATGACTAGTCATTGGTCATTTCAAAACACAAATGACCTAAGAAGGTCATTTAACTTCTGTTAATTGATAATCTAATGCCGTTTAGCCAATCAAAATTGATTATTAGACAAAATTAATTTTTATAAAATATGACCGATAATTTCTTGTTATCTGGCATAATTTGACGAATACACAGTTATTATCCTGTTGATACCGTATTCTAGTTTATTCAGCAGGTATGACGTATACACTTGCGGAAAAAATTGATATTATGCCGCAGGTTTTATATTCAGAATTTGTCAGATGATTTTAATATTAACCTGCGGCAATAATGTGAAATTTTTTCTGTCAGTGTTTACATAGTACCTGCCGAATAATAGTAGTTACATGTAAAAGTCAAAAATTTATTAAGCTAATCAATAATTTTGTCTTGATCTTGAAGTGAAGAAAAATTAAAAAATTCAAAAGAATTAGGAAGAAGTTTTTTTTTTAGTAGAAAGAGAATTGGAAGTAAATTTGGTATTTAATATAATTTATTATTTTGATTTTGTTAATGAGAATGAATTGATAATTATAAATTTCTAAAAAAGAATTATACCATTTTTTAAAAATATAATTGCATTTTTTTAATAAAATTATTTTGTATGAGTTTAAAAATTCTTGTTTAGAAATATTTAAGTTAATATAAATATTAAATTTATGATTATTTTTAATAATAACTAGAGGTTTGTTGAGTTGGTTTTTATGAAAAGTATAAGCTAAAATTGGATAGGTTTAATACTTAAAGCTTTAGTAAATTATATATAATTAATTGTTTGATATAAGTAGTTGAAATATAAATAAAGTTTTGCAAAATTTAATTCAATATAAATATAATTAGGAATAGTATATAGTAGAATGTTAGTATAAGAGTAAAAGATTTGTTTGTAATCAAGTTTAGTATTAAATAGAATTTTAATACTATAGCTAATTTCAGAATTAGCTTTATAAATAAAGTTTGTTAGAAATTTAGATTATTATTTAGCTAGAAAACAAAGAAGATATTTAAATATATATTTAGATTCTTGGTCTGAATTTTCAATATTAGTTGTAGATTGTTAATTATATCTGATCAGATTTGAAGTTTTTAAGATAAGATTAGATAAATTTAAAATTTATAAAAGCAAGTAATATATTTAATTTTAAGTATAGTTTTATTTTATTAGTAATAGAATAGTTTAAAAACTAGTTAAGATCTTTGAATATATTATATGTAAATTGAGATTTGTTAGTAGAAAATAAAATTTTATTTTGTTTAAGAAAGTTGTATTTGTCTTATTTAGATTTGTAAATAAATTTAATAGTACTATAAAAGAATTTTTAAAAGAAGTTAAAGAATTTAATTTTTGTAAAAAAAATTAATATATTGATAAAACAAGATTTGTAAATTAATTTTTCTTAATAATAATAGCAGTAAAATCATGAATATATTTTTGTTATAAAGAACAGTATAGATAATAGTTTATAAAAAATAGATTGCACAAATATAGAGATAATAAGTATATATAGTAATAAAAGTTGTAGTTAAATTAATATTTTTAGTAAAAATAAATATTGCAAAAAGAAAAAAGATAGTAAAAATAGTGTAAAAGATAAGTTTAATTAGTAATATAAATAAGAGTTTATTTTATTAAATTATTATTATTAAGATTAGTAATTAGTGCAAAAATTATAGCAAGAGTTAAAGTTAATAGTCTGAATAAGTAATTATATTTAAATTTTTATAAAGTAAAGATAATATAGTATTTTTTTATATAAACAAGTTGCAACTTAAAATTGTTTAAGTATTTGCATATAATAATAGTTTTATTTTTTTAATTTGTATTATTAAAGATTAAAGTAAGTAATAAGAATATATATTTTACTAGTATTTGCTTTAATAAAACCAATACTGTAATAGTCTAAGTAGTATGAAAAAAGTAGTTAATATTATATGAGTCTAAAGTAGAATTAACTAAAGTAGATATATTAATAGTATATTTAAAAGGAAATACTTTTGTAGCTCTATAGTGTTGTAGCACTAGCCAATCAGAATTTTAGATTAGATATAACTTTGTGTAATATTAAAGCAAAACAAACTAAAATAAATAAATAAAACAAAATAAATTTGTTAACTTTAGAGTTAGAGCTAGAGCTTGTATTAAGAATAGAGTTAGGTATACTATATATTTTATTACTTCACTAATATTGTTATAATATGAATTTTTAGTAGTTAAATTTTATTATTTAAATTCTATTAATTACATTTTATTAGTATAATATTTTTCTATTAATTTTAAACTATTTAGATATTTTTTGTGTAACAACAAGCTGCAGAACATCTTGTATAACTCTGTGTAACTTTGTATAACTCAGTATAACCTACTTGTACCAAACACTTTAATTCGAACAAAACTGCTTTTTTAGAGTTCATGCAACATTAGGTGCTGATCCAGAAGACCTATTTTGAAGTTCCTATCTAGGAGTTCCTAATCTAAGGTGCCCAACCTAAGGTGCCTAACTTGAGGTTCCTATCTGAGGTTCTTATCTGAGGTTTCTATTTTAGGTTCCTAACCTAAGGTTCTCAACTTAGATTCCTATAATTAGGTCTCCATAATTAGATTCTCATAGTAGGTTCCTATAGCAAGGTTCCTAAAATTAGGTTCTCAAACTAGATTCTTATACCAAGGTTTCCAAGTTTAGATTTCCATTCTATAATATCTAAAAAGCTATATAAACCCTACTATTTCTACTAAGGTAGGATAAGTTCAAGTTCTCTTTTCTTTCTTTTAATATAAGTTTCTTTTCTCTTCTTTTTCTTTAATATAAGTTTTTTAACTTATATTCTTTCTTTCAAAATAATAGTTTCTTTTAGTTTCTAAATATTATCTTTTAAAAACAAATCTTTTTTTTCTTAGTTGGTTTATAATATTTAACTATTTCTTTAATTATTATTTTTTTAAGTTAGCTTGTAACATCTAACTTCTCCTTTTATCTTCTATCTTCTTTCTTATATCTTATATCTTTTATCTTTTATCTTCTATTATTTTATATTTTATCCTATATCTTCTTTGAATATTCTTTTATCTTCTTTATATCTATTCTTTTATAAAACTATTTATCAATAAACTATTTAAATTAGAAACCAAAACCAAGTATTATTATCTCTAATATGATCTTATCATCTTATTATAAACTATTATCATCTATAAACTTTATAAACTTATTCCTTAACTCTTGAACTTGTTAAGTCAAGTAATTAGTTGCTAGATTTAGCTAGCAATAACAACTTCTTTTTGAATCTATAAAATTGTTAAGTCTAGTTACTATATTACAATATGATTTTAATAAAGCTAAAGAATAGTCTACTTAATATATATTGTCTAAAAAAAAATATTATTTCTATAAATATGCTAACAAGCCAAAACAACAAACCAAAAAAACTATATACTTTTCTAAATACCCAAGAAATAAAATAAAAAACTAAAAATATTGAGAAAAATATTGAGAAAAAAAAAATATTAGTAAATATATTCAAAATTTGAAATGACAAAGCTAATAAGCTAATACTTTCTCTAAGTTTCTAAATTCAAAATATCTATATAGTATAACTAGTAAAATAATATAGCAATATATTTATCTTAACTATAGTGAAATATAGTGACTAATTTTAACAAAAGCACTAATGACAAGGTAAAACAGTACAAAAATATTAAAATCAACTAAAGAAACTATATCTAAGAACTGAAACAAGAAACTAAAAACATCTTTAAAAATATTTAAAAAAAAGAAGTATAAGTAAACATATCCAAGACAAAGTCCAAAATTTCAAAAACTAAAATGTCTATATAGTATAACTGGCAAAATAATAATAGCAATACATTTACTCTAACTATAGTAAAATTCAGTAACTAACCTCAACAAAACACTAATGACAGTGCAAAAATAACAAAATCTATATTTGTGATTACTATAACAGTAATTCTAAACAATATAATACCAAAAAGTAATAAAATCTATACTAATATAACCAATGACAATGACTCTAACTATAATACTAGTAATAATAATAATTAAAAAAATAAAATTCTATTAGTTGAAATAGTTGAAAGAAAAAAAAAACTATTAAGTATTATATAATAAGAAAGAAAGCTTATATCTATTGTTTCTCATAGGCTAGTTTAGTCTAGATCTTAGTTCAAGCCTATTGATATCTACTAAATTATATGATCAATAATATTTGAAATACAATATAGATCATAATAGAAATAGCAATTTACTATAGTGGAAATAGCAATTCCCTTTTTCAAATTCTAAACTACTAATTATATATAAAAAGTATATATGTACTAAGGTTAAGTAGTATAGTATAGTATTAAACGCATTAA